CACGAAACTGAAAATTTGTTTGTATCACCCCATGGACCCAATGAACCTTCATGCCAATTTGGTGAAGATCCATGAACAGGTGGGCGAATCAGTGGTAAAAAAAAACGCCCATAAAAACCGCAAAATGCAAAACTGAACATTTGTATGTACCCCCCGCACGGACCTAATGAACCTCCATACCAATTTTGGTGAAGACCCATCCACATCCTGCGAAGTAGTTACATGGACCTACAACAGACAGTACTACTATATTTATATAGAGTTATATATATATATGGTAAATCCCTTCTAGCTGATCATTAGAGAAAGCAATATAAAGTGAATAATTACTAGAATTTCTATATAACAAAAAACTGTATTATTGTCCCTGCGTTGTAAAATGATTTCACACTGCTCCTATTTTCAAAAAGAAAGAAAGAAAAGATTTAGCCCACTGTTTAGCTTTGTGCTTAACAATAACGACAATACAAAATATAATATTTTTTGTTTTGTTCTCAGCGTAAAACTATATAACGGATTTTTAGGCTCTGTCCTCTGAGAGTAATATACTATCAATTGGCGAATACTTAATTTTAATGGTCATCAAACGGGCTGCGCGTGGCCTAGCAATTAGCGTGCCCAGGCTGTGAATCCGCGAGTTGAAGGTTCGTCTCCTGTTGTCTCATTAGCGCGCTCCACACTTTTGGGTTGTGGATGCACTATAACTATAAAGGTTAAATTCCACTAATTGGTCAGTCAGACAAAAGTACCCCAAGAGTCGGCAATTGGGGTTGTTGACTAACTGCTTTCTCTCTGGTTTATCAAATCAAAATTAGGGACAGCTATTCACACAGACAGCCCTTGTGTAGGGCCCCCATTGGCACAGCGGTATGTCTGTGGAGTTACAACGCTAGAAACCGGGTTTCGATACCCGTGGTGGGAAGAACACAGATAGCCATCGTGTAGGGCCCCCCATTGGCACAGCGGTATGTCTGCGGACTTACAATGTTAGAAACCGGGTTTCGATACCCGTGGTGGGCAGAACACAGATAGCCCTTTGTGTAACTTTGTGCTTAACTACAAATGAGCAAACCCTATGTGTAACTTTGTGCTTAACTACCAACAAACAAACCCTTGTGTAGCTTTGTGCGAACATTCTAATTACAACAACTACAAGATGGCAAACAAATAATTTAATATTAAAAAATAATGTTATTTTATAATGGTTGAATTCCCTTAAGCCTAATAAGTAAATTATAATACATGCCACAAACCTCGAAGACGGGTGAACGTAACACAATACATAATATTTCTGTGAATAGTTAGCCTTCAAAATTAGTTTGAAGGTTTGTGTCAGCATTGAAAACCATCCATATAATTTTCAATCTTTGGTTCCAATATATCCCGAAAGGTGGCGCATACTAGGAGTTGTAATCTCGTGTCACACCATGATGATGAAATGACCCGTGATAAACGAAACCGTTCATCACGTTACACCGGTTTACTGTTTTCACCTTTTTATTTTTACAGGACCATGGCTTAGAAGCTAGGTTACTTTATCAACCAAATCTGTTTATTTTTCTTGTTGAGTTGTGAAGAGTTAGTTGAGTTTAATATTTTAGTTGTTTAACAATTTACGTATCTGATCGAGACACCGATTTCGAAACTAACCCTTTATACATCAAATAAGTACAATCAGACCCGCTCCAGCTACTCACCCTTGGGCTGGGAGCTTTTGTTGACTTTTCTCAACGATTTGAACAAAAGTATACGATTTTTACAAATTTATAATAGGACTTTCCACGCTATAAAGAATGAATTTGGGTAAATCAGAGCGAAATTTGAGGGAGTATGGCCCACCCCAGCAAACCCCCTAGTATAGACCCTGAGTGTTGTACGTACGATTGAGCACGTTTTCTTTAATCCACAACTTAAAGCCACAATATATGGCGCTATCTAGTGAGAGAAACAATGAAATTTGAAGATAGCGACTCCAGAATAAACCTATTTTAGTCGAATTTAATTTGTTCATTACTAAATTAATCTAGGTAAAATGTTAACTTCCGGTAAGTAAAGTGTTAACTTCCGGTAGGTAAAGTGTTAACTTCCGGTAAGTAAGGTTTGGGTGTGGATAAAGACTATTTTAAAACTGTTTCAGATCTCTGAATATCGTTTCTATTTTTTGCCTACATGGATAATAAACCGTAGGAAAAAGTGTTGGATTGTTTTGTGTATCTCTTCAAACACAGGATATACAAACACAATTAGTACTGGCCAATCTTTAGTTGTTTTTTTATA